CTCGATCTCCCAGCCCGTGCCGAAGTCCACCTCCTTCATGGCGTGCAGAGCCTCCGCGAATGGTCGACGGAAGCGCCGCATGCCATCGCGCTTCACGGGCAGGATGCGCGAGCCAGACACCTCCACCGTCACTTCCTTGACGAGGAAGTCTTCCAGCCCACTTGAGAGCACCGCGCCGTCCGCGAGAGTGAACAAGCACCGATCGTTGCCGACGTGGGCCCACTCACCCATGTGCGCCGGCAAAGAGTCGCAGATCTTCATTCCAACCCGGCTCTCAGCGGCGACCCACTTGCCCGCGGGCGTCGCGGGCGGGCCGCCCTTGCCAGGAGGCGCGGGCGCAGCGTTCGCCCCAGCGCCAGCGGGGCGGAGACCTTGGCCAGCGCCTCCCCCGTGTCCATGTAGCACGGCCTGTCCTTGCCGAGCGCGAAATGATCGATGCGGTACACCGCCCAACCCCGCAAAGCGGCTGGCAAGGCCCCGCCAGCGACGAACTTCTTGAGCTCTCCGCAAGGCTCTCCTCGAAAATGTCGAACTCCAGCGAGTTCACGACCCAGCTCGCCCCGACGATGTGGGCGAGGAGCAGCCTCTCATGCCACTCCACCACCGCCCCGTCCACGTCCTGGCAGTAGCAGACGAGGGCCCGATCGCCGATTTTCATGTGCTGGACCCAATCGGGCGTCGTTATCTGCGCTGTCCGTGGTGATGATATCAGACGTCACATGGAAGGCGCGGGCACGCGGGACACACGGCGGCCAACGCAGAGATCCGCGGTAAAGGCGCCCACGAGGAGAGGCACGACGTACAGCCGTAGCCAGGCGGCTGTCCAGCCACCAGCGGTGGCCTGCGTCTCGCACTGTCAGTCGCACTGGCAGACACTGCGTGGGGCGCCCCACCAAATCAGCCAGCAGGCAGCACTCGCCAAACACAGCCGCCTCGGGAGCGGCCACCTCACAGTGGCAATCCACGGGGCAGGAAAAATAGGCCAGTGCACGGAGAAAGGGCCAACTCGCGCACGGCAGAGAGGCTGGCCAGAAAAGGGCCGAAGGAGTCCATACACCCCTGAACGAAGAAGCCGGCAAAGCGGAAACACGGATGTCGAGGCCACGTCATTCCCGTGGGGCACAAACGTCATCATCATCATCATCATCATCAGCATCATCCTTATCATCATCATCAGCATCATCATAATCATCCGCATCATCAGGACACTTTTTATCATAATCCGCCGACCCTGTCGGCGTGTGTGAGGGGTTTCTCCGTTCGACTCGTCGTCTCCGTCGTCTCCGCTCTACCCCTCCCAGGGCTCTCCTCCTCAAGCGCGCTACCCAAAGCGAAATTAAACGACGTCGTGGTGGAGTCGAAAGGAACCCCCTTCCCTTTGATCCCTTCCCCGCAGGGGGGGGGGGGGGGCGGGGCAGATGCGACGCCCGCCGGGGCGCACTTTCCTCGAGCGGGCACGCACGGGATGCACTTCCTCCTCCTCCTCCTGGTCCTCCTCTCCTCCCCCTCCTCCTTTTCCTTTTCCTCCTCCTCCTCCTCCTCCTCCTCCTGCTCCTCTCCTCCTTTTCCTTTTCCTCCTCCTCCTCCCCCTCCTCGTCCTCCTCCCGCAGAGGCGTCCTGGGAGCGGGCCCCGAGTCAAAATACCACCCCCCTAGGGCGCATTTTCCTCGAGCGGGCGCGCCCGAAATGCACTTCTTCCTCTTCCGGGAGCACGTCCCAAGTCAGAATATCACACTCCCAGGGCTCACTTTCTTCGAACGGGCACGCAAAGGATGCACTTCCTCCTCCTCCTCCTCCTCCCCCGTCCTCCTCCTCCTCCTCCTGCTCATCCTTTTGGACTTGCGGTCAGGATTGTGCGCGCGAAGCGAAACCCATCAGGAGCAGGGAAAAAGGGCGCAGGACAGGGCCGAAGAGAGACAGCGCAGAGAGCGAGCAATGCACGCGAACGGTCCCGGGAGCCAGCCGAGGCAGGAACGGGGGCCCGACGCCCTGTCAGCGCAGGGGCAGCCTGCGCCACGGGCCCGCGAGGGCTCAGGGCATCAGGCGGAGCCGCGGGCCCGCCAGGGCTCAGGGCTGAGAAAGAAGCGGACATTGCAGAATAAACGGCGACGAAGAGCCCCGAACACCCGACACCAAGCGCAACGAGCCGAGCCCAGCGAGGCGACGAGGGAAAACGAGCCGAATCCAGCAAACACGCCCACTCAGCACACTCGCTAAACCTCAGAGCTGGTGCAAGGGGCTCAGGAAGTACTGGAAGTACTTGGCCCCATGCGCGCGTACCACTGGTCGAAGATCTGCTCGTGCTGGCACAGATCTCTGAAGAACATGCCAACGCCCGGCTGCCCTTGACTCGCTGCGAAGTCGTAAAGCCTGTCGAAGACGTCATTCGTCATGAACTTGCTGTGGTACTGGAATCGTTCCGCTGCCTTGTGGAAAGCATGCCTGAGAACCTGCTTGGTGCTCTTGCCGACGCACTCTAGGTTGCATGGGCGAATGCGTAAGGCCTCCGACCCAGATTTGAAGACCCAACGGTCGCTGCCAGCATCATACGTTCCCAAAACGCCTTCGGTGCCATTGAGGAGCGTGCGGCCCTTGATGCCCGCGATGCGCACTGCCTGACCTTCCAGCAGCACGCGAGCAGGATTTCCCGTCTGAAGCGCCCGCCCCACGGGTCCTTGCTGGTCTGCGTCCGCTGCTCCTTTGGCAGCCCGTTGGCTGTCCTGCAGTGGCTCCGCCTCAACTGTCGCGGCGGCGGGCACCTCGTGCTCCATCGCGGCCGGAGGGGCGACAGAACTCGCTGCGGAATGGCACGAGCTTCCCCCTGCAGAGTGCGCCCGGCTCGGGATAGGCGTGCTGCGCCTGCGCCCGAGAGTGGAGTGCTCGCCAATGCTCTCCTCGAGGATGGCGGCAGGAGTGGACAGCTGCTCGTCCTTGGGCGGCTCGATGGGCGCTGGAGGAGGTGGTGGAGCAGGCGGCACTGGAGGAGGCTCCGCAGCTGGTGCAGCGTGACGGGCAGCAGGTGGAACCAGAGGCCGTAAAGCAGCGGCCAGTGCTGCACCAATCCCGGTGGCCTGGCAGCTTCTGTGGTGCAGGGAGGCAAAAATCTTCAGCAACGTCTGTGCGGCCCGGGCCTGCGCACGCGCAGCCTGCTCGCGCCGAGCGCGGGCTGTGCGGCGGGGCCGACCTGCACGCCAAGGAGGATCCATTGCTCTGGGCGAGGGGGCAAGGAAGATAGCGGCCGAGGGCCGCCTGGCTCTGGCTCGCACCCTCCGTCTGGAAGCGGCCTGAGCCCGGGCTCTGCTCCTCCTCCTTGTCCTACTCCTCCTCGTCCTCCTCTTCCTCCTCCTCCTCCTCCTCCTCCTCCTCCTCCTCCTCCTCCTCCTCCTCCTCCTCCTCCTCCCCCCCCTCCCCCTCCTCCTCCTCCTCCTCCTCCTCCTCCTCCTCCTCCTCCTCCTCCTCCTCCTCCTCCTCCTCCCTCTCCTCTTCCTCTCCTCCTCCTCCTCCTCCTCCTCCTCCTCCTCCGCCTCCTCCTCCTCTCCTCCTCCTCCTCCTCTCTTCCTCCTCTTCCTCCTCCTCATCCCCCGTTTCCTCCCCCCACTCCTAGCCCTTTCGATCAGGGTGGTCGGCGCCGGCCGTCAGGCCGCTCCAATCATCATCATCATCATCATCATCATCATCATCATCATCATCATCATCATCATCATCATCATCATCATCATCGTCATCATCAGCATCATCATCAGCATCCTCATCCTCATCCTCCTCATCATCATCACCACCACCATCATCATCACCATCGTCATCATCCTAATCAGCATCGTGGCCATTGATATCAGCAACAGCACCATCATCATCGTCTTCATCAGCATCACAATCACCATTGCCATCAACATCATCATCAACATCACCATTACGATCAGCACCATGATCACCATCATCATCGCCATCAACATCATAACCACCATCACCGTCATCAGAATCATCGTCGTCATCATCATCGTCAACGTCATCACCGTCATCTTCTTCTTCTTCTCTACACCTTCTGCGCAAGTTGCCGCCCTCCGCCCCCCGTCGCTCTGGATCACGATGTTGGCGCAATTCGGTTTCAGCTTCGTGGTGTACCGTCTGCTCCAGGAACATCTTCTGTCCATAGTCAAGTCGGCAAGGCCATCAGCCACTTTGTTGTCCTTCCTTGTTATCCACTGCACGGGGTCGTCGTCCATTCGGGGTGGTCGCCAACCTTTCCCATACAGTGCACATCATCATCATCATCATCATCATCATCATCATCATCATCATCATCATCATCATCATCATCATCATCATCGTCATCACTATCAACATCATCAGCATCATCAGCCCTTTCACCGTCATCGTCATCACTATCAGCATCAGCATCAGCATCAGCATCACCATCAGCATCAGCATCATCATCATCATCATCATCATCATCATCATCATCATCATCGACCAACCCCTCATCCTTCCCTTTTCGATCCTCTTGAGGGGTGCAGGAGAGGGAGATAGAGAGAACGAGAGAGAGAGAAGGGGGATCGCGGATCGTCTCGATAGAATGGGGGATCGAGGGAACCACCCTCGTTCCATCTTGGGCCGAATTGTCACCCACCCACCACTCACTCGTCAGAGTCGAGGAAAGTACGGCAGAAATCACTACGTCCAGCACCAGATCGGCTAATTAGGCGGTGAATGTGGAGGCAGCGCCTGTGACTCGGCGTCAAGCACAGAAAATCGGCACTCACGATCGAGAGGATCGATCCTCACGGTCGAGACGGTCGCCTCCCAAGTGCTTTCCGAGCAGAAGGTTTCGGAGGATCGCGATGCATCGGCGCCGTCGGCGTGGAGACGTCGAGCTTCACATCGAGCCGCACCGCCGATGCAGCAGTGATGCAGCGCGACCCCATCTACTCGCATCCCACTTGGGAGGCCTGAGCAAGAGGATCAACCCTCACGATGCCCCTCCCCTCGAAACCGCGGCCCACCTCGACGGGCGACAGGTCGTAAGAGAACTTGGCCTGCGGCACCTGCGCCGCGGGCCGCAAGGGCGAATGATCGGTCGGCGGACCCAGCGGCTTCGGCCACACGCCAGCGAGTGACCCCGGGCAGCAGTGACCCTGCGGTGCACGGCCTGCTGATCGTGGCGTGTGATGCGACAACGGCGGCCTGCGTGCTTGGGCTTGGCCCCCCGCCCCGCTGAGGGGACATCGGCTGACCCCCTCACCTGTCCTGGCCGGGCCCATCTTGGGGCCGACATCGGTGCAAAACGCCCTCCTGGCTTGGACTGGCGGGCGTAGACACCGATCCCTGGTCACAAGATCGGTGCGGTCAGGACCAGTGAGTGTAACAGTTGATGCCCCCCGACCCGCGCACCCCTAAAGCCGCACCTCAGACGTCACTGTGCCGCAGGGCCACCCTGTACGTGCAGCCGGCCAGCGGGGGGGGTCAAGGACACAGGATCGAGGTGGATCGAGGTTTTTCGTTGGTATCGATTTTTCCCAAACATCCTGTGGTGTTGGGTCCTCGTTTTGAAGAGACGGTGCCCCGCGTTCCTCCTCTCCTCTCTCCCCCTCCTCCTCCCCTCCTCCCTCCTCCCCCTCCCGCCGCCCATTCTGGCACACCCCTCACACGTTTCGTGGCCCCATAGGGAATTCCACCGAAGGCCCCAGTGCCACCGTCCACATGCGTCCCCCCCACTCAGTACAACGTTTCGTGGCCCCATAGGGAGCTCCTCCGAAGGCCCCAGTGCCACCGTCCACATGCGTCCCCCCACTCAGTACAGCGTTTCGTGGCCCCATAGGGAGCTCCACCGAAGGCCCCAGTACCACCGTCCACATGCGCCCCCCCACTCAGTACAGCGTTTCGTGGCCCCATAGGGAGCCGCGCCGAAGGCCCCAGTGCCACCGTCCACATGCGTCCCCCCCCTCAGTACAGCGTTTCATGGCCCCATAGGGAGCTCCACCGAAGGCCCCAGTGCCACCGTCCACATGCGTCCCCCCCCACTCAGTACAGCGTTTCGGCCCCAGCTCCTCCGAAGGCCCCAGTGCCACCGTCCACATGCGTCCCCCCACTCAGTACAGCGTTTCGTGGCCCCCTAGTGCCACCGTCCACATGCGTCCCCCCCACTCAGCTTCGTGGCCCCATAGGGAGCTCCACCGAAGGCCCCAGTGCCACCGTCCACATGCGTCCCCCCCACTCAGTACAGCGTTTCGTGGCCCCATAGGGAGCTCCACCGAAGGCCCCAGTGCCACCGTCCACATGCGTCCCCCCCACTCAGTACAGCGCTTCGTGGCCCCATAGGGAGCTCCACCGAAGGCCCCAGTGCCACCGTCCACATGCGTCCCCCCCATTCAGTACAGCGCTTCGTGGCCCCATAGGGAGCTTCACCGAAGGCCCCAGCGCCACCGCCCACATGCGCCCCCCCCACTCAGTACAGCGTTTCGTGGCCCCATAGGGAGCTCCACCGCAGGCCCCAGTGCCACCGTCCACATGCGTCCTCCCCACTCAGTACAACGTTTCGTGGCCCCAAAGGGAGCTCCACCGAAGGCCCCAGTGCCACCGTCCACATGCGTCCCCCCCACTCAGTACAACGTTTCGTGGCCCCATGGGGAGCCTCACCGAAGGTCACAGTGCTACCGTCCACATGCGTCCCCCCCACTCAGTACAGCGTTTCGTTGCCACATAGGGAGCTCCACCGAAGCCCCCAGTGGGACCGTCCGAGTGCGTCCTGAAACACCCAATTTGGCATTTTTGCCAAATCATTACAGCGTTTCGTGGCCCCACAGGGAGCTCCACCGAAGGCCCCAATACCACCGTCCGCATGCGTCCCGCATTTTCACCCACCCAGTCGAGAATTTCGTGGCCCCGTAGGGAACTCCACCGAAGGCCCCAGTGCCACCGTCCGCATGCGTCCCGAAAACCCAACGTGGCATCTTTACCCACCCAATACAGCGTTTCTTGGCCCCTTAGTGAGCTCCACCGAAGCCCCCAGTGGGACGTCCGCATGCGCCCTGGAAGCCCAATTTGGCATTTTCACCCGCCCAGTACAACGTTTCGTGGCCCCATGAGGAGTTCCACCGAAGCCTCCAGTGGGACCGTCCGCATGCGTCCCGGAAACCTTACTTGACACACCACTCACCCAGAACAGCGTTCCCCCCCACCCAGTGCAGCGCTTCGTGGCCCCATAGGGAGTTTCACCGAAGAAGATGTTCACAATTGCGGTACCCACAACTGCACATGGTGGGGTCCTTCGCCAGGACAATTGTTGACGCTGGGGTTCAAAGGTCGAAGTTCGACCCAGATATCTGACGCAATTATTGTTACTGTTCCGCCCCAAGGGGCAGCTTATCCGCCGACCCCTTGGGGTTCATCGGCGTGTGAGATGCTTCCCCCTCCCCAAACCCCTCCCCAGGGAGCCCGGTCGATTTTGAGGGGGGGGTCTATCTGGGCCAGCCGGGGTGTGGGGGTACTTTTCAGCAGAAATTCTGCGAGGGGGGCATCGAGGGCCTCAAAACGGGCCACGACGGCCACGCGAGACCTCCAAGACGGTCCAAGAGGGCCCCGGGTCGCCGAAACATCGTCCCAGGACGCTCAAGATGGCCTCCTGACGGGCAAAGATGCTTCCAAGACGCTCTAAGAGGCTTCGAAGGAAGAGGCCTCCCAGGATGGCCCCAAAGGCCAAAATCGTTATTTTCACTCGATTTTCAGCAGGGTTTGTGGCTTTCTTGTCTTTTGGGGCTTCCGACGCTGGAAGATTGCCCAAGATGAGGCCCCCAAGGAGGCCCCAAGAGGCCCCCAAGAAGGCCCCAAGACGGCCCAAGAGGGCCCCAGGACGGCCCAAGAGGGCCTCAAGACAGCCCAAGAGGGCCCCAAGACTTCCCCAAGCGGGGCCCAAATAGGCGACCACGAACCGAAAATTCTAGCTTTCCGCCCCATGAGGCCCCCGGGAGGCCCTAAGGGCCCCCCCAGAGGCCCCAAAACAGCCCCCTAGAGGCATCCAAACTGCCTCGGGCAGGCCCCCGAGAGGCTTCCCACGAGACCCCAACGAACATCCAAGAGGCCTCTGAACCACAACCCAGGCCCGGTGGCGGGATGAGCTGAAAGCCACTATAGATCCGCCGCCCCCTATCGATTCATCGCAGGGGTGCCTGGCGCGCTGGACTTCTTAGGTTTTGGTTTTGGCTATTTTTCCAAAAGAACTCCCCCTGGGGCTCCAGCGCGTCCCGCCGGCCACCAGGAAGGATGCCGAACATTTGCCCAGAGGTGGTTGCAAAAGGTTTTTCCGTTCCAGACGGCTCCAAGATGGCCTCCAAGACAGCCAAGATGGCCTCCAAGCCTCCAATACTGCCTAAGATGCACCCAAGACGGCCTAAGATGGCCTCAAGATGGCTAAAACCCAACAGGCTCCCAAGAGGCCTCCAAGACGGCCCAAGAGGCCTCCAAGAGGTCCTCCAGGACGGCCCGAAGAGGCCAAAAACACAGAATTTCCATAGATGTTTGAAGGATTGTGGTATTTACGCCTGTTCGGCTTTCCGACGGCCCAAGACGGCCCAAGAGGCCCCCAAGGTCGCCCCAAGATCGCCCAAGAGGCCTCCAGGATGGCCCCATGACGGCCCAATGTCGCCCGACGGACGACAGCGATGAGGCTAAGATGTCGGATCCCTCTCCACCGGGTGGTGAACTTCCACTCTTTCCACAGTACGCAACGTCCAACGCTGCACAAATCCAGCACAAAACGTTGTAGGAAGGGATGGGGAATGGGAGATTGGTGTGAGTGATGAACGATACAAGGTGGATCTTGAGCCAAAATGGTTACGACCCATGCTCGTGACCATCAAGCTCGGGGGGTCGAGTTGGGCACTGATATCTGAAAACGCAGGCCTCTAGACTCGATTCACACAGCGCCCCGACAAATAGTGAGCTCGCTAGGTCGAGAAAACCCTGTGGCACTTCTCCGAGCTGGTGGATCGCGCCATCTTGGGAGACGAAAGTAGCCACACTGCTTATTGCTCTGCTGCTGCCGTCATGCCAGAGTAAGCCTGGCGACCCTGGTCCGGCTTGGCTCTGCACACGTGTCCCGCACGGCATGGACGGCCACAGAGAAACGTGCGAATGCTTTGTCCCGCCAGACGTGACGAGCGTCACTCGGCGTGGGACGGCTGAGCAGCACTGGCCTTGACACCACCCTGCAGCTGCCGGAGTTGTCTTTGGGATTCAACTCTGGAACGGCCTCTCTTTCGGGGGTCCTCCCGTCGGCCCTCGAGGGCCCCGCTTTCGGCCGAAAGACGCAAGCACCCAGAACGGAGGAGCTCATGCTGAGCCGCGTTCGTTTTCGCCAGGTCCGATTTCGTCATGCAGTCGACTGGAAGCAACGGGCGTGGCATCCATCGAATCACGCTGCCGACCTCCTGCATGACACCTTTGACGACCGACGATCGCGGCTCGACGATCCGATCGAGAACCGTTCGATAGCTTGCTGAGGGTGTCATAGATTCCCTTAGCGTCCACAGTGCTAAGGCACTCCAAAGAAGAACGAGAGATGAGCTGGCAGTCGTCTTTCAGGATGGCCGCAAAAGGGGCCCACCTTTCCCTGCCAGGTTTCTGACACCACGTCGCCTCTCACAACATCTTCGAACATGAGGTGAAGCCACTGAGCTTCCGCGAGGGCCCCGGAGAGCGCAAGCGTTTCTCCTGCGAGAGTGCTCGCCATTTGGCGCTTGACTCGGCAAGATCTCCTAGCTAGGGGGGTGGCTCTCGCGCGGCGTCCGTGCGCCGGAGCGTTGTCGGCCAGGTAAACCTGCCAAGCTTGCTGAGGATAAACGCAGTCGTCCGAGCCGCCTCCTCCGCAGTCGCTGGCCGTCGCGAAAATGCAGCGGGCGGGGTCGAACTTGTGGATTATGGCGGGCATGCTAGCGGTGGGCCTGAGGTGGTCCACCATCTTGTGTGCCTCGACTAGATCTCGGTCACACTGTGAATTGACTTTCGTCGCTAGAATCGACGCGCAGCCACCCGCCTCAGCCCGGGATTC